CATTCCAAACAAATGAAAATAAATTGTTTGTTTACTATGTTGGCAAACAAATCATTTCGCCAATATTCATTTGTTTACTCCAAAACGCCGTTTTCGTTTCCACAAAGATTTTATCTTTTTTCTTTCTTACTTTCTTGATAAAATGATATAATAATAAGAATTTATATGGAAAATTTTAAATTAAAACGCATTGCATTTTTAGTTTTCAAATTTTAGATTCAAACTCATCAAAAATAAAAATAAAAGAGAACCCAAAATTCTCGCTATACAAAATAGAAGGGAATATTCGGTGAAAAACCTGTAACTAGCTTGTTATAACTAATGACTTTCATTTGCGTGGGACGCTGTGCGATTCGCCGAAGCGTAAAACAATAAATAATCAAACTAGTTTTTCACATTGTTAATAGACATTGCATTTTTTGCTCAAATTACTTTTTTTCGAAAATAATTGACAAAATATATTGAAAAATATTTCCCGTAGAAAATTTCTACCCCTATTCATACTTATCCTAATAAACTCACACTCTGTGAGTTTCCAAAGCAACTTTGAATTCAACTCCAGCTATGATTCAAACTCCAGCTTTACCGACGGCGGCCTTTTTTACCCGTAACGCGCCGCGAGAAAAACTCCAGTGCTCGCAGGCATAATAGACGCGACGGCAGCCGGGAAACGAGGGAAAAACGACGCAAAAAGTCCTCTTGCCTTTGTGCGCGTCGCGAGTGGCGCACGCGGAAAATATCCGCGAGAACTCCATGTGGCAAACACGCCAGCAGCGCGATAGCAGAAAAGATTCGCAGGTTTGTCTTGAATGCACGATTGCGAATGTGTGCGGCCCGCTGCTCGCGTTGAATGTGTGCCTCATTATTGCGCTCTATTTTCACTCGCTTCCCGGCGTTTTGTCTCCATATTTCACTTTCTACGCGGCGCCAGGTCGTGTTTTACCCCTATGTTCTTTGTCAGACAGTGATATGACGGTATTTTTAATAAGCGCGAATTTATGCTTGCACTTACCATGCAATCAGAGGACCGCCGGGTTTTTCGTCTCGCTGAAGTCTGCGCTTGACGACGATTTAGATATGCTGACTTTCTCGTGGAATAAAGTCCGAATCACTCGGGTACTTTTTTATTTCACTTTAAATCACTTCCCAAATCGAACGCGAATCAGATTCAAGCACACGTGATGTTTTAATTGGGTTTAATTTGTTGTAATTGAATAAATAAGTGATAACTGGTTAAAGTTGAGCTAAAGTTGAAAGTTTGACAAACTTTCGCAGCGTGCGCGGTTTGTTGTTGTTGATGTACTGCGGTGAGTGTTTACAGTTGGAATATTTATCTGGTATAATTTTTTGTTTGGTTGTTTGTTATACAGAGACAAGACTGGGCAATTAAGTGAGGATGGGTGAGAATATTAAAAGGTGTGTGTGTGCGAGCGTGCGCGCGGTGCCGGACGACGAACCGTTTGAACGCTATGCCCAGTGTGGACTGACGCGGCGTCGCGACGCCGCCAACCGCCACGCCGCCGCTCGGATGCTGCGCGCACGCTCGCTCGCTATTTTCATAACGCGTGCATACACTCACGCAATATGTGTCGGTGGGGGGATGCAAAAACAAGTAGAACATCAAGGTACATCAAAAAAACCTCTAAAGGAAACATATTCACTTCTATTTTATAACTACCATGAACTATATAATAAAACCTTAATAATAAAATAGAAAATGTTATATAATAACTTAGTATATTAAAAATATGTTTTTCTTTAAAACAAGTCTAATAAAAAAAATCAAAAAATGTATTAAACATTTTATATTTTTCTATATTTTCTATATTTTTTGCTTCAAAAAACACAACAAAAAATAAATTTGTTAATTAATTATGGAGCCGACCAAAATTGCGACATGGAGAACACGCAAACTGCTTGTGGTGTACTCGTATAATTATCAATAATATGCCGCTATTGTGTGTACTATATAATGCACGTATAGAAATCATGTTGCAACATTACCATTTCCACGGTAGTGAATTTGGGAGTTAGAAGGCAAACATTTATTTGTGTGCACCGAGCAAGGTACTACAGTATGCAACCAAATGCAATACATTCACTACAGCATGTGTTACCAAAGTTCGTCATCCGGTAGCAAACATCTACTAAAGTGATGTTTACAATTTGTATATAAATCCATAAATGCGGGTTTCACACCTTGGGGTTTTACTCCGGAACAAGCAATTGCAAAAGAGAAGATTTGAAAAGTAACAAATCTGTAAAATTTGTGGCAGAAAACACTCTGTATCTTTCGAACAAAATGAGAGATTTGGAAATAATTATTATTGTATTGGATTTAAAAAGATCCGTAACGACATCATTTTCTACATGACGACATTTTCTACAATTGGCAAAGCTTCCTATGACAAACACCCTGTATGTCCTACCTTCCTCCAATGCCTGTCGTATACAATTTTAACCAGCGGTGTTTTTATAGTTCAGAAAAAACTTTTTTTTAATGATTTGAATCATTAATAATTAGTTTTTAATTTTATAACTAAAATTAATGTTTAATAAAACATAAGTTTTCCATTTTTAATTGATAAACGCAAACCAAAACATAATTTGCAATGCACCGGCGTCGCTTCAATTACTCGGTTGTTGTTTCAACTAATACAAACGCAAACATTATTGTTATTCAATTATCAGCAGTCGCCTGGCAGGCCGCATTGGTTATTAGTTGTAACAATATTATAGTTTCCGCAAAATACAATCTCATAAAATTTGCACTAATACTCCAATTTTTAAATAATAACTAAATCCAACAATATCCATATTCAAATAGTAGATATACTTAAGCAAATTTATAATTTTTCTGTAAATTATTAATAGAATCTAAAATCCATAACCGAAACTATAAATAACTCTAGTTTGTTTGATGCTCATGATGGGGAACGACAGTGTAAACTGTGAAAGTGACTGTTATGCAAACGACATCGTCGGGGATTGTCGAGGGTGTTGCTCGTAGGGGTGAATCTTTATTGTTCACTGATCCGGCTCGATAATTATAACCGAATAACCTCGAACGAGTGCTGGAACTTTGATTGTTCGAGCGGACGCCGATCGCTTACGCCTTGCTAATCTCTTGCAAAACTCACCCCTTAAAACCCAACTAAGCATTTTAACCCGTTTGCATATGTTTCATATAAAACAAAATATACAAATCGTCGATAACATAATTTCATTTTAACCTTTTTAGATTAAATTTTTTATCTCTGCGGAGAAACTCGATAAATCAATAATTAGAAAAACAAAAACACGAGGAATGTCCACTCACGCTAACGAGTTTCCACCATAAATCCAAATTATATTAAGGAACAAATTCGGGAGAACTTAATATACTTAATAACACTAGTGTGGAGGTCGCGTGCGCGCACAACTTTGCAAAGTTGTTAGCGAACGCACGAACATGCTCACGTCTCAAAGGACGACGCAGAAGACGTCTCTTGCCTCCCTCAAGACGCCCCACAAGTTTCAAACAAAAGAGCTCGCTTGCACACGAACGTTCCAAGTAAAACAATGCCATTATACGCTATTATGTGTCTCACGATTGCGAAGAACCACCAAGAATCGATGCTAAGAAATTTAAAGCGATAAATTATTTACGAAATTGATTTTGTAAACTAGTAGGAAAAAGGTAAAACTCAAAAATTTCACTGATGCGGTTATATCAGGTTAGTGATGATAAAATGTGGGTTTTAATGCTGGGCGACGCGTTTTCCGCATGTTTGGCCACATCGTCGACACGAGCGAGAAGTACTACTCTGGTGCGCAGGATGGTTGCGAGGCGGTCGATGGGGGTGGGCTTTGACAAGTGAGCTGTGTATCTCCTTTTCGCTCGCGCGCCGCACCGGTGAACCATGATGATGATGGGCGCAGGCACGGCCGGCTTCTAATCGAACAGACGGCGGCAGCCAAGCGGGAGCATCGCGTGCGGCCGGCGAAGGACGAAGGACTCTGCATCACGCTTCGCTTCGCCGGACCGCTCCTTTCGGCGCAGAGGCAACTCTAACCGGAGGATGTGAATTACCTCTTTTATAAGCAATTCGAGAGTAGTCAAATTCAAATGGGTAATCCATTTAAACTCCATTGCAGTATACCGAAGCAAACTTGAATTGGGTATAAAAAATTGTATTTTTTGAATCCAACCCTGCAAAAGCAAGAATTCAGTGAAATAATTACATTTGTGCTACGGAGAAAAGAAAACAGTCCGAGAAGGAGCAAGAAATGTTGAAGACTCAGACGATTCGTGGCACATGTTGTATGCTGTTAATTGCCGGTCATTACTCAACAATTTACCAACATTGCCAGAACAAATCGCATGCTATATATATCCGAAACAACTAAGTATTCTGGTCATTGTTCAAACCAAATTACATATCAATATTTATATCATAAAATTAGAATTGATGAATGATTATGAGCATATTTATAGTTTATTGTGGCTATTATGGTCATGTACTGTATGAGTTGGTCTTTTTGCGTTGTCAAAACTTGACTCTCTCGGTCTACGAACGGCCAGTTCGCCCCAACTGAAAGCAAAACCGTGTACGCATCATTATTGCATGATTTAGGACCTAGTCGCCGGGGTTATCATTGCATCCCTATCTCAATTGTTCTTTTTCACTTTGCTACCATGCAACGCAACAGTGCAATTATATGCACGGCAACAGTTTTCAGCTTACTGATGACATTTTCCGGGTTATAGTTTGTGAAATACAAAACAACGTTTTTTAAACTTTTGTAAATTGTAGCCACAAATTTTAAATTTTTATTTATTAAACAAAGTGCATCACTTTTTACGAATATTTTTATTGTAGGTAAGTAGCGTTATCAGTGATAACAGGTGAGGTAACAACGGATTTATTTTTGTACTTGCACGTCGCCCGTCTGCACACTTGATTTGTGCTGATAACAAATGTATAATCATTGTGACTGTATATAAATACATGTATTTTTTAAATTTTATTATGCCAACCTGCAACCACTTAATAAAATTGCAGTAATTTTTACTTCCATTTTGTTTTGTTTTAAATAAAATGTTTGACATTGCTGGTCGATATGAATATTACAAGAGTGAAAATTGTGACGCGTTTTTTAAAACAACTGGTACGTTATTTACACTCAATATTTTATTATTTATATATTTCTTTATTTAGTTATTTATTTGGTTATGTTTATTTAGTCCCAGAAGCTAAATCAATAGCTAATCTACAAGCTCAAATTGATATAGTTCAACATGGAAAGTCCGGGGTTTACGAACTGACTCACACTTTGCCCAATAAAACAATTCAAACTGTTTTCAAGTTAGGTGTACCATTCTTGGATGAAGTACCTACAGGAAATGTTTTTCAGGTAATTGCTTTAAATACGTATTTTCTATATTCTGCTATATGGTTATGAGCATATCCATAGAGAAATGATATTAATAATAGATTTAGAAGTTCGTGCAAAGTTTGTTAAATTTGTTAGGTTGCAAAGTTTTCGCGCTACTATATAAGTAAAATTTTCCATCAAGATAATTCCCTAAAGGAATTTAGAAATCTATTGAGAATACTAGGTCTATAATTATTATGTTATTACGTGTTTTTTATAATTATTTATTGTGAGTTTTTTGTTTTTGTAGAGTGTAGCAACTTTGGATGGGAATATTTTGAGAATTAAATCTACATTCAATGGAGAAGATTATGGTGGACGTGATTTGGAGTTTAGTAAAGAGGGTTTGACAGTTGTAAGTATATTTAAAAAATAATTGATTATAATGAATAACTTTTAAATATTATTTATTGTAGACAATTCTGGTTCCTCATTTTACACCGCTCAAAGCAGTTCGTTATTATAAACGTCTGATTTAATATCAAATATCTGCTAACCAACTTAATTTTTAATGTGTTTATGTTTAATTGTAATTAATGCAACTAAATTGCAATGTTAATGCAAGATAAGTAATGGATTTAGTAGATTTATTTCAGATAATAAATAAATATGCAAAATAAACTGATTAAATTGAAGATATTAGTATATTTACTCAAACTGTACCTGACTAAAGTGCAGGGCATTGATATTAGATAACACGTTCTTAAAAGTTCGTCTGTACTTTTATTGAGTCACATGACATGAATTATTTTATGATGAAGGTAACCTTGTTAAGTTTTAAGGTGACCGTGATACGCAATTATATTCAAAAATTTAAAAAATTGTTAAAAATTTTACTCACTGAGGAATACAAGAATATTTCTGGATTTACCAATATCCAAATACTTTCTGAGTGTAATACCTATTAAAACAAGTAATATTTATTTAATTAATCAATTTTATATTTAAAACAAGATAATAAAGTTTTGTATGCGTTGTGGATACAAAGTTTTAAGTAAACTATATGCTATCAGAAGCTCCAAAAACGCATAACAACAGAAGAAAGTTTAGAAGACTCAAGAAACTTCAGTAAGTGTTTTCTAACACTTCCAGATTTGAGGTATGTTTAAGTATTATACTTAAATCTGGTAATTTATGTTTTCACTTTTTTATATTATTATTTAATGCACACAATCAATATATAAACGCAAGTCAAAAGTAAACTTTACTTATTATTATTTATTTACTTAAAATCATTTTATGCCAGTGATATAAAAAATTAAACACTAGACCATTATTTTCACTTCTTGTAAAAACGTTTGCATACAGCAGGAGTCATTACGGAAGAGATACTCTGAAATATATAAATATTAATGAGTAAACTATGGAATAAACATAAATTAATTATACATACAACAATAACTTCGCTACCGGTGAATTCATAAACGCGTTCACCAATGTAGTTACCATCCTTGTTGGACTTGATAATAAGTTTATTACCATCAATTGAAGGAGTGCTCTGAAAACACCAATTATTTCAGCATGCAATAGATACTCTAAAATTATATTTTGAATAACTCACATCAAGTTCCAAGCCATTTGGCATTTTGTCCTTGAACTCTTGTCCCATCTGGCATTCGACAGTGTTCACCTTACCGGTGTAGTGGGTGTTCAAGGTAACCTTGGAACCCGCAACAATCACCTCAAGAGTGCATGGGGTGGTCTCTGATTTCTCAGCAAATTCAGCCGAAACTACACCAAAACCACAAAAATTAAATTTAATCTGAATGAATATAATTATTACTTGTATATTTACCTCCAACACCGGCATAGAAATCCTTGCCGTTTTCTTGTTTGGTGAATTCGTATTTACCAGCGACGATCGACATGTTGATATATTTGAAAAATATATAAGTATTAAAGATCACAAACGCAAATACCTGCCAAAAAGTGAACTAAACTAAAATCAACATCAGCCGACTATAAATACACACTTCTGCTTTAATTAACTGGCGTTTTTATCGCTGGCGGTGATAACGCAACTGTTTACTTTGCACTTTGACAGTTAGGTACCTACTCCAATATTGTCGGCTCTATTGGACTTACGTAACATTCAATCAAATCAAAATATTTTTATTCTTTTGTTTGTCGCTTTGATTGTAGAGTGACGTGTCCGCCGACGATGAACATATAGATTATAGAGATAATTGCGTAAATAGCAATTTAGTAAATACTACATCAGACAGCACTTTCTTGATTGAAAAAATCTTCTAGAATGAAACGCGGGTTAAACAGATCAATATTTAAACTACGGTCAATGTGATTGAGATCAGGGAAAACCATTTGTCAGACCTTTTCTAAGTTTTTATAGACTTTTCTCTTTATAAACCATTATTTCAACAAGTATTTTTCTTTTCGCTTAAATATTACCAAATTTACTTATACTTTGTTAAATATAAGTATTAAAGTTGCATGATAAAAATAATGTGAAAGAAAATATGTCAAAATCCATAACTTTACATTAAAAGAAAATGGAGATAGATGTCGGATCAATTTGAAAGCACGTCACGCTGAACCTCTTTCAAAGCGACATTATCCAATAATGAGACATTTTTGTTAAAATATTAACTTTTTACAAGCTCGCGCACGAGTTTTTCGCCGCGATTTATAAGATATGTGCGTTGCTACATTTTTCTTCAAAACACACGAGCTGACGTAAGTTGCAGTATGAATTTGATGTAATAATGTACGAGGCAAAACAACGCGATAACCAAACGAATGTGAGTAGCGTAAGCGTGTCAAGCAACGAAAGTAAATTGTTTAAATTTTCAATAAAAATATATTAAATATTTAGAAGTGCTTTGATACAAACTCAAGTGGGCCGAACTGTCAAGCGACGAGGATCTGTTATATCTTTACTGGAGTAGTACAATGAAAGTACTTTTAAGAAATGAAAAATATTTAGTATAAAAAAAAACAAATATCAGAAACAATTCTCTGTTGATTAAAAAAATATCATTTATTTAGGTATATTAAAATATTTTGTGATTCAATTAAATTACAAAAAATAAAAATAAAACTACAATAATAGATTTTTAGTTACATGTACCTGATTAAGTAGTAATCCTTGTTTGCATTGTTATGTATTCTGCGTTGAGTTATATGCTGCGTTCTGTATTCGATCATCGTTGCCTGAAAACATATTTAATTGACATTGCCTTAATTTTAATTAAACAAACCGTTGCGCCCCGAAATCTCTTCGAGGCGTAGTTAAAACCGTCGTTGTCCTTGTTTTGTCGCTGCTGATTTAACTACCGCTTTGCGCTAACTACCCGGGCAGCTTTTATCATCGCAGCCCTTCCAACACATCTTTCTTTCGCGTGTTTCCAGATGGTTTAGCACACACACACATACAGCACACACACGCGAGCGTATTAAACAGACGTGTGTATCAATTAAGCATCCTTTCTTCCAGCAGGACGCAGATTTGCGCTACGGGTTCGTCCTATAAAGGTGTATTTAATGCGTACACGTGTAATGTATACCAAAATGGCAAAGTATTCTCGAGTGTGTCGGTGAGTCAGTCGTTAAATAGGAGTTTAACGATTCGTTCGCAGGATAACTCTGGGACGGTACGCGCCGCCGACGGAGACGCTTCATTAGCATGCCGACAACGTCAGTGTCTTTAACACTATTATTTACCCCAACACGATCACGGTATGCTCGATGGCGCGATAAGCACCATACCAGTAAGAGTAGGTATAATCAAATATGGGTTTATTGGACATTTATAAAGTTATTCTCGGTATATTAAACTGGAATAACAATAACAAAATTAATATTACAAAGTTGACATAACCAAAATTACACCCTAACATTTATTATTTTATAACCTAGACTATTTGCTAATAATAACTAAACATGTAAACTCGTGATTTTGATTTTTGGTTGGCCGAAAGCAAATTAATAAAAATGTGTAGTTGTATTGAACAAAACATTCAAATAATATTGAAACCTCGCGATTGGTAATAAAATTTAAATATTGTGCTTTGTTTTCCTTTGTTTGTACAAATAAAATTGACGTCCAAATCATGAATAAAGTTCACATAGTTGAAAATTTAATTTTTAAAACATAATAATAATTTTAGGCACTATATTAAATATAAATAAATATTTCGAATTTATTTCATATATTGATACAAATAACACTAGATTACTTTTTAAGTGCATTTTCTTTTTTTGGCAAATTTTGGCCCTAGAGAATGCCGTAAAAGGCTCAGTAAAATCTGATAATTTTTATAATATTTAAAATATTTAAATATGCTTGTAACGGTTATGTTGTAGTTTAAGAGACTTTTTATCATGTTTTTGTTGTTGTTCAATTGTAATTCCTAAGTGCTCTAAAATTCTCACCAAAAACTGAAATTTAAAAAAAAATAAAATATGCTATTGAATTTTTGCTCAAGAATCTAATTTACTACTCATGAATAATTGCACCTTCATCCATCAACGTTTTCTTTCATTTGTCGCATTAGAGTGTAAAACGAAAGTGATGTTTTAAACACCTATAAATATAATTATTGTTAAATAAAACTTGTGAAACAGAAATACTACTCACGACAACAAAAGCTTCGCAATTAATTTCAGCTAGTCCAGCTGCCATAAACTTGAATTCTTTTTGGGCACGCTGAATGACAAATCCAACATTTTTCTGAAGTGACACAGGTCCGTTGTACCAAGAACTACTGTAAATAGCCGTCGCTAACCGTTCGGCCTAAAATGATCAGTGTTTTATAAATTAGTGTTTTATACCCTAATAACAAGATCTGTTAAAAAAAACCTCTGCGGTATATTCGGTAGCTGGAAAGCAATACAATGCAAATTGTACATATAGGCACAATACGTAGAAAACACTTAGAATAAATCGCTCAGGGCTTCCAAGACTGTCAGCAAAAAGATACAATTCCATACAGCTCAAATATATTGACAAGATGTACTGACCCAAAAGTGGAATACTTAGAATACTCAGCATCTCAGCTGTGAAACTGAAATATAATTTAATCAAAACGTAAATTATATGAAAATTAAAAGATGATAATACCTAAGTATAAATTTATGATGCTCCATACACTTTCTAAACTTTGATAGGTATTTTGGATCGTTAATGTCAAGATGTTCCAAAACATAGTTGATTATCTGTAGCTGAACCACAAGATGTGCAGCATACGCAACGTATAAGATGTCAAAACCGCAGACAAACGAAGCAAAAGCAAACGCGTAGACATATTGAAATGCGAGGATCACGGCGTATGCGTGTGTATAGTCAGGTACGTAGCATGTAATCAACAATTCACCTTCTTTGAAAATTGGTTGTATGTAAAACAGAGACATCGTGAAGTACACGGATGCGCGAAATATGTGAGAAACGTAGTAGGATGTTTTATATGTCACCTCCAGTTTCTTCTGTAATGTTTCAGGAAATAAATCGGGATTCCAAAATGTTTTGTGTTGCTCGTAGAGTTTCAAAAAACGTTTGCGATGTAATAATAGTGGTGTTGATTTAATAAACATCTGTAAATGTAAAAATAATTATTTTGTTCATTTTGTTTTGGTTTATAATTTAACCTGCAAGAATGTTGTCATGCCTTCCATAGTTTTCGCAAGTAGATCAACATCACCATTTAGATGAAACAACAACATTGTTGATAGCGTGCAATAAAAAACCGCGGCTATAAGCCAGAAAATGCAGATAGCATTTGCGATTTTTGGGTTGTCATGAGGACGTTGTCGATTGATGCCCAATGAGAAAAAACTAATGTCTAAAATGTTAGCGTATTTCATTTTTTTTTGTATGTAATTTTTTGAAAACTGAAATTGGAACTAATTGTACTATACAAGGCAAAACAGTATTTATACAAGATGGTAAAGAACAATTACAGTAAACTTAATTTAATTAATTTCTATGTTTGAGAAATGAATGCGCGTGTTTGCTTCAATTTATCTTACGATTATTGCATTACTAATTTATGTAAATACTATACACTTTGTTTAAACCACCAAATAAATTACGCAACATATACTTTTTATTTTTTTAATAAATAACAAACAAATATTTTAATTTATAGATTTATAAAACATAAAATAAATTTTTTGAATAACACCACTTTGATTATAAATTATTTTGTAGGAATATGCGTATAGTTTCGCATTGTGTATTAAAGTCATGTCAATATTAATTTATTAATTTTGCCATTACTTCGCAAGTATCACGTGTCGAGGATGCCAATTAAAACAATATCATACTAAAATTACGCATAATTGGCATATAGTGTATATTGACATGCGTGGGATTAGCAACTTTCCCTCATATTTATTTCATTACTTTATTCAATTATTTTAATTTCGAATATACCAATATGTAATATTATATTTTAAAAAATGGTATGTGCGAATAAATCAGGGAAAATTTTAAAAGTAGGCACTCTAAAACTGCATGGTCGCTAAAAAAGAGAAGTTAATGTATGTTACAAACTTCATTTCATCATTATAAATTTATTTGCTTCATAATCCATCAAAGTTAGCTTATATAATAATAGTATTATGCTAAAAGCACTCCATTAAATTTGGTAAAATTTTATCTGAAAGCACAGTTGTTGACGACTTGTTTTACTATATTATAGGTAAGGTTGGTGCTTGACTTTGATACCAAAAAAGTTATTCAGATAGTTGATAACCATATTGTGATGCAATATGCTGTGTAATGTATTTGCGCTCTTCTGTTCTCGAACGCATTTAGCAAACTTAATCAGGCCATATTAGTGCAAATGCAATTCCTGTAATTGATGCAATTTGCGGCTGAAGCCATAAAATTAGGTTAAAACTAACATTTCACCACGTCTAGTCTGTTGTAATTCTAACGCGTGCATTTGTTTAGGGCGTTTAGGGAAAACAGCCCACGCGCAACCTTTGCACAGCTCTGCTTTAGCGCTTTGCGACTCCCTCACTCGAGGACAACTTGTGGTGCATCATGTCGGCTAGGCAGACAACAACGGGCACAAAGTTTGCGCGAGGCTCGCTCGTAATGGAACATTAGTTGCAAGATAGCGCGAGCACTTTTCAATTAGATTATTATACCTCCGAAGCGGCGTCGCGGCGTATTAGATTGCGCCGTTGTTTGTTCAACATAATATTCTCGGCAGGCGCACATATTGCGCAGGCGTTTAATCTTAAAATTTCAGCGTGTGGCCGTGTTGGTGCTATTTGTGCGAGCGTATTTCTACGTTTGCACGTTCGTTGGGTAAATATTCAAATATTGAAAATTAAAATGGGTGGCGAGTCAATATTTCCTTTGAATTCCCGACTTTAGAAGTGAAACAAAGTGTAGAGAAGTAAAACATATTCCAGACTAACTCAAGCAGTGTTTTTACACATGTTAACACAAAATAGAATAAAAACATTTTTTTATTTCTGCTCACAAAAATATCTTGTGAGATAAATTCCTATTTTATTATTTCTACTAAGAAAATATCGCAGAAATCAACAAAATAAATTAATTTCCGACATAAATCTACGATAAATCTAACCAGACCATTATTAGTTTCTTGATATGAAATCTGATATTTCATTTCATATCTTTTTTTGTTCTCTTGTCTTTTCGGTGTTTTCGACTTTAGGACATTTGGACTAAGAAAGGTCCGATCAACACCTTGTCGTCGCCTTTAAGCACCTCTAAATTTATCACCGTCCTTATCGGTACGACTTTGTGACCACATTACATTTACACCTGCTTTGCCTCTGAAGCCGCCAGCGAGAGTGCATGGGAAAGTATAATAAAAAGTATAAAGCGTCGAAGGCATGACGGCATGACGGAATTAGCAATCAGTTGATTCGGTCCGGGCGCGCATTTGATAAGCGCAGGACGTTTGTAGGACGCAAGGAGTCGTAAAACGTTTTACTGCTCGTGCAATCATAAAATAAACGAACGAAAAAGGCACCGAAAACGGGGGCGCTCCGCGAGAAACGAAAGCGAACGCGTCGAAATAAAAAGCAACATTTGGAATGAAAGAGTTTTATTGCGATTTGTCCAACTAATTGGCAAAAAGCTTGATTTATTATTATGACTGTTTTATTATATCTTCACATAAAATATAATTTAGCCCAAAAATCTTGTTTTTTTTAATAATATTTTATGTTTGACTGTCTAGGAAAATAAACATTTATGACGAATTTTAAAATCTAATAAATAGAAAATTTTAATTTTTTTAAAATTTATATACCTCTTATTTTATATTTAATTAAATTTCCACTCTAATAATAAAAATAATAGCATAGAACATGAATATTTTACTAACAAGTCTTTAAAAGATAAATGAAATAATACTTTTGTTAACAGTTATAAATCCCTAACTGACCACCAAGCAAATAGATAAAACTGAATAAACCTTTAGCATTTTGATACAAAGTAGAATTCCACAGCAATTTCCTTCATAAGTCTTTTTCCGAGTAGTGGTAGGTACTAAATCAGGAGCACTCTGGGCATATTATCTCGACGAGCAGATTTTCTTATCAAATTTGGCGTGTTGCACGTCACGTCTGTGATTATTATAATTATGCGCTTGCGACGTCGATGCAGCTCGGCACCGTCGCTGCGCTGCCATGCGACAGTAGACGTAATCCAGACGAGCAGTTATGCCCGACCCAACCTTGTCAAGCTGTCTGCGAAAATTCTGAAATTTAAAAGCTTTTTGGGCACCCTCCGCTCGCCAGTCGACGTTTGCTAACCATTGGCGGCAGCGGGACGCCTTTCGAAATAAGTACGAACAACATACCTCCTCGCAACTTTCATCTCCACTCGAAAGAAAGGTGCGCAGAGTGCGACGAGACGTGAGTCCTACGTGCAACATTTTAAAATCTGTCAGACAAAACGTCAGCAAGAATTAAAGCATCTTCAGTAGCAGGCAAATCCGGAAACATGAAAATTGTGGAGGCGGGCCCACTTGCTTCCTTACTTTTTGTTCAACTTTTTGCCATGTTTAGTATTTTAATACATGACATGTTTGTGAAATCGTGATAGTGGTTGCATTTGCATTCCGGTGAATATGCAGTTTAATTTTTGGACGTATGAATGCCATCTCATTGTGATTATCATCATAATGTTCATACCTACATCGCAAACCCGCTCGCTGGAACAAAATGTTTTGTTCACAATTGTTTTCTATACAATTTTACGCGCGGTCCTGTGAATGCATTACGCCTCCATTATTTCAACCGAATTGCGGCTCTGTCGGCCGGCCTTCTCTGCTATTTTTATAGACTTTGAAAAATTCACATCTAGATAATACTTGCCTGTCAACGCGTCAAATTAATTTTGTGATGCAATCATGCAAACAACCAACTCAAACCCATTCCAAAATGCAATCAAATATAAAATAGGTATTTCAAAAAATATCAAATTACAAATAATATAATATATGCTATATTAAAATAGAACATGAGAAAATTAAGACTTCTCATTTTATTAAAAAAAAAAATTTAATGAGATTGATGTTCAGGTTGTAATTTAAATTTTTTGTCCTCGCATTGTCATCCCGTATTCATAATTTGTACCGTTTAATTTTATACCTGCCAATCAAGCGAGTGGGCAGAGCGTCTGTAACGGACAGCAACTTCCATCGACCCAAAACTCTACCGAACCAGCCGAACCAATTCCGCTCCACTGCCAAACCAAACTAACTGCTGCAAAATCCTCGATTTTATCAACGACGCCATACCCACACCGCAAACTCACATATTCAATCTTGTTTACCTTCATCTCAAGCTAAACAAATCAATTATTACAAATATTTTGAATAATAATCATGGATATCATCTATAATATCGAAAAGTCGTTGCCCGAATTTTATTTGGCAGTGCATGCATTGCCCAGTGTTAGCCAGCAGGTATTGACATAGTCGGCTGATGTCTAATCAATACTGATTAAACAAGTTAGCACTGCATTGGACCGAACCATCCCGCACATGAACAGGTTACGTGTACACAGGTAAAACTGAAAGCTCGTATACACATGATCCGGAAACAAACAGAGATTCCGGATGGAGTTGCCTGGTAAATGCATCGTGGGCCAGTAGTTGGTGTCCGGTGTGGCAAGGTCCATGCTCAGCTGCAGGATAGAACAGGACTTACCTGCATTCGATGTATGTGTAATGGTTGAGGTGGTAGCGCATCTGGGAAACAATCCGATCTCCAATATTCCAGCTATTCTCATTAAATGCCTTATGCCGGTGGAGTGCTTCTAATCCTCAATAGTGTTGTTTGTTTAATCAACCATACAGTTTAAGATAAATTTTACAATGCCTAAAATTATAAACATTTAAAATTCTGTTCTAAAACATAATTGAAAGCCATTTATAAATTTAATCCAAAATAGTGACAACTCTATTTTTCTCAAAATCTTGAGCTATTTAAGGGCATAACCATATTATATAAATAGAGTGGTCGCTCTCGGAAGCACCCGAAAAAAAGGAACCGAAACCAAAGTGACAAAAGTGTAAGCATATGTGCTACATTTATGCGTGCGCGTATGTGGGATGTGGGAGGGTTGGAATATGTGTGTACATGCGCGAGCGTTTTGGGGTGGCTAAACAAGCGTACTCTATCGTGTGAACGCTTCGGCGGGCACACACGACGCGTCGCTCTGATGTTCATCCCCGGTTGCTGCCGCTTTGAGCGAAAAGACCAAAGAGTTGTTCGAACATCGGGAGCGCGTCGAGTGCACGACTACCTGCGTCGAATAACATTTTATCGATGTGGCATAAATAAACTGCGCGCACGAGCAACTCGGAAGTTCGCAAAAAGCGAGCACGTCATCATCATCGCTGAAAACATTAAAAATGCAATTCAAAAATAAAGCGCGGATAAACGCAAAGTAGGAACGGCAAGAGGGAAAGTTTTTGTAATTATGGAATTTTCAGAAATTTGTGAAATGAAGTAAGTTTTACAGAGTTGCTGAGTTGTTAACAATTTAGTTAAAACGTCAATGGCAAATATTGGATTTTCGCTGCCCGACTTGATTAGTTTAAGTTTAAATCGATAAAGAGTTTCAATGTTGCCTTGAGCCAAACTTAAATTACC